CCGAGCTCGGCCTCCATGTCGCCGCTGAGGTCCACTACCTCGTCCTGGGTGGCGAACCCGGGAGACGCGGCGGCCGCGGTCGATCCTCTTGCGATGATGTCGTCCATGTCGGCTCCTGTGTCGTCGGCGTCGCCGAGGTGCGAGAAGGGTAGCGGTCCGCGGTAGAGATGGGGCGTCGGTGTGGACGCGTCGGCGGCGGGCGGCGAGTAGTTGTATGGAGGGTACTGCACGCCGACGAAGGCGAGCGAGGGCGTGCGTGTAGCGGGGTGACCATGGGGGAAGGTCACGTTTGGGTTGAACCCACCGCGTGTGTCGCCGTCGGCGTAGCCGGGCGACGATGAACCCCATGGAAATCCGGCGCCTTGCTGTCCCCCGGGCGCGTACTGGGCGTGGCTGACGACGGGTGGATTCATCCCCGCCTGGTTGACCGATGAGGAAGACGCCGCCGCGCGCGCCGCATTTCGCGGGCCTTCTTGGCTATGGCCCTGTTCCGCCTGTCGGCGGTGACTGCTTCGCGCCGCTGAACTTCCACCCTCCACTCGGCGTTCGACAGGCCCGGTGGCTTCGATGGCGGCGCTCTCGGCTTCCTCTGCTTCGGCTGGGCCACGGCGCCAGTCGCGGTTGCCGCCGCGCGCGGCATGGCGTACTTCTTCGGCGGCATGGCGTGCTTCTTCGTGGCGAGCGGGAGGGGGTTTGGCGGGAGAAAGGGAGAGAATGGCGGGAGGAAGGCGAGCGAGCGGGAGAGATGCGAGGGAAAAGCGTCAAGAAACGGCGGGAAAAGGCCCTCGGGTCGCTTCCAGGGCGGGCCCACGTGCCTTTTTCGCTTGTGCCGGCTCCCCAAGCGCCCCCCAGGGCGCTGGGTTCGGCCTGGGTCCGCCGCCACCAGTTTTGGCCCGAGCCGGCGAAAAACGGGCTTCTGGGGGTGCGACTAGGGCCTTTTTTTGACGCCGGCGCGGCAAAATCGCCTCGGGAGGGCCTGTTGGGGGCGCGGCTGGAGATGCCCTAACCCTAGCGCCTGATCTCAACCGTCCACGCACAACGATCGACGACCAGGTAGTGTGCGGGGTTTTGAGGGGTTTTGAGAGGGGTTTTGAGGGGTTTTGACTGATTAGGGTTGAGCATAACTAATTCAGAAAAATCAAAAACATATAAAACTTGCGCACATAGTCTTATTATGTCCCAAATTTTCAAACCGTTCTCTGTTCTACTTCTTCCTACCACGTCGTGTGCCCTTCTTCGCCTTAGCCCTTATTGTTTTGGTTCTACTACACACACAAGTTCACTGATCATCTTGGTTTTCATCACTGGTCTTTTCAACACCTCGCCAATACCCTCGTGATCAGTGTCTTCAGTCTCAATGTTGACACCAGTTTCAGTTTCTTTGGTGTGTACCTCAACATGGGTTTCTTCAGTCTGAACCTCAACACGCTCAGGTTCATTTTCTTCAGTATGAACCTCGACACGCTCAGGTTCAGTTTCTTCGGTGTGCACCTCCACATCAGTTTGTTCAGTTTGAATATTGACTGCAGTAGGATTTTCTTCAGTCTGCTCAGGCTTAGACACACTTCTCTTCTTTCTACCGCCATTGGCTCTTGCTTTTTTTGTTGTCCAACACTGTTCAACAACAAGGGGCTGACTTGCTCGCTTCCTCCTGTGCAGAAAATGTTATAGATATAGTAATTGGAAAAAAGCACCAAATCAAAACACAGACAAATAAACAAGAACATACTTTGGCTTATCAGGAGTGTAACGGCATTTGACAGATCCCACTCTGTGCCCAAGTTCCTGGCACAACTTGCATCTGTTTTTGTTACCTTTTTGGGCCCTTTTTGGCTTTTCATCTTTCTTTCCCTTCTTACTATTCCCACCTTTCTCAAACCATGCCTTGAATCTACTCTGTTTAGGCATGCCAGCCTTTCTTTTCGTCAAGGGAGGACACATGGAAACATTTTTAACTAAATTTTCAAGCCCCTTACATGCATATGTGTGTATAGCCAAAGGTGGCACTGGCCCTAGGCATCTTTTCAACTGGATCATGAACCATGTCCATGAAGCCTCTCTTTCTGACTGAAACAAGCCAACATCAATAGGAAACATCCAGTTGTGTCCATCTAGAGCATTGCATGCTGCCAACTGACCATTCCACTTGCTTGTCAAAAATGATGAGTCTATGCTCAAATATGGACGGCACCCTGCTTTGAAGCCATCTATGCAAGGCTTCAAAGCCATTAAAAACTTGGAGAACTTGACTTCACCTTTGGATGATACCTCTGTATCTATCTCCACAACACTACCAGGTGACCTCTTTTCCACCTCTGCTTTGAAGTTGTAAAGCATCCTAAATGTATTTGCCCAATCACCATATAAATTTTTCATTGTCCTTTGTTTTGCCTTCCACACTGTGGTATATTTCAGTTTAATGGGGTACATCTTTTCCAAGTCTACTTTGAGTTTCTTGGCAGTAGTGTTTGGTGTTTTGGCTAAAATTGGGGTGATCTTTTCTGCAACCCAAAGTTGTGATGTCATGGTTGATACTCTCTGTGAACTTGTAATACAAGTATGTTGATTGGGGATTTGGTTAACCCTGACAGTACTTCCATCAGGTTGCAGTCTAGCAGATATGTACCACTTGCAAGGCTTGACACTACCATCAAATCCTCTGCACCTCGCATAAAACTTCTTTCTATCAGTCCAAATAGTCTTGGCATCAAACTCATGTTTCACAGCATAAGTCTTGAAACACATCCTAAACTCCTTCATGCTTGGGAACAACTTGCCTACTTCAATGACAGGGTTTTCTTTGTCATGCACATGCACCAGCTCATCATCATGTGCATCATCTACTTCATCTACAGCTTGTTCCATCAATTGTCCATCTACATCTTCATCAGCATTAGCAAGCAAACTAGATTCGCCCCTCTCCTGCTTATCTCTGTCATCGACTGGAATGCCAAAAAGTTTGGCCATCTCAATGTCAGGCATTGGTGCAATGACCAAATTAGTAGACTCATCTAATTCAACTACATTCCAATTAACAGTTGCTGCAGTTTCAGTTTCAGTTCTAGTCACCTGTCCCTCTTCGGCTATTACTGTAAGTTCAGTACACATGGGAATCAATGGCCTTTGTGTAGCCCAATCATGATCTACCATCTGCGCAGCCAATTGTGATGGCACATATCCAACCTTCGAAAAAATATTCAGATCAACCAGCTCAGCAAAAAAATTAGCTCGTTTGCTTGTCCAGCTGTTTTGCCGATCGATTTCATCAACAATCTGTTCACCATCTTCCATTCTCACATACTCTCCTTTCCAATCATCAAACCGCAATAGTGATACTTCTTGCTCTGGACCTCAAACAACATTCTCCTCAATTTTTTCCACCAATTTCTTCACTGCCTTCTCTCCCATGTTCTGTAGAACTTGTGGATCAATCTCTGTAAACTCAACCTCCCATTTAACAATTGTGTCTCTCTCAATGTTCTGAATGCTACCATCAACTAATTTTGCCTTTGATGGAAAGAAATTGACCGTCAATTCGAAGGTCCGAGCGGCAGCATCCCCTCTGTCAGTGGCGGACACTGTGAGCCCGTGAGAAAGAGCAGACTAGGCCCTAATTGCATGCAAAATTGGATCGGAGAGAGGCGCATTACCTATTCGAAGTTGAATCTGGCGGCTCCATCTCAGTATGCCCACGGGCTCCCCTCACAACCTATCGATTCAACAAGCAAAAACAGAGGAAACGAGCTGAGATCTACGGGGACAAGAGAGGAATGGGAGGGGGACTAGGGTTCTCACTCACCATTTTTTCAGGACGAAGGCTTCGCCGCCGTTGAGAACGAGTGCTCCGCCGCCGCCACCGAGAACGCAAGATCCGCCGCCACCGGAGAAGAAGGGGGGGAGAGGGCAGAGTGGCTGGCCCGGCACGGTCAGCTGTTTTGAGGAGCAATTAAGTTGGACCCACATGTCCTAACATAAACGGGCTTCGTTGACGACCAATTTAACCACATTTAACACCCCATGTGGCCCTGGGCTATTTACCTGCTCAAATGTGTCGCACCACAACCATTCGCTCGAACAACGTTGCACACAAGCCAATTCACCTCAAATGTGTCGCACAGGAGCTATTGGCCCGTGCCAAATAGACCTAGCACCCAAAAAATGACAGATCCAATCCAGAGAAAAAAATCACGGCAGTCAATGCCATAGTCTCCGGATTCTTCCCACTAAGTCATGAAGTTAGCAAATCGTTCACATTTTAAATTTTGAACAAAGAGCCACTACGCAATACATTCATAGTCTAGGCGCTTTTGACAACAACAAAGATTGGTTTAGTTGGTTACTGTGGTGGTGCACTTGCAGGAGGTCGGGAGTTCGAATCTTGTCCTGGCCGCCCTTTCTTCCCTTTCTTTTCTCGCGGAGTGGAGCGCTTGGATGAATCAGAAGAGGCGCGCGAATCGTACGTGCCTATCGCTAACGAACAGTCGGCAGGTATTTAGCTTTGTCGTTCAGATTATTAATCAGTGTTTAGGCACTGCAGCAGTACTTTGTTTATGGGCCGGTGGCCCAGCTCGCTACTGTTAGACACCTGTTAGACATGGCGAGCGTCACATAAAATGTCTCGTAGACAAACCGAGGCAACGAGCGTCATATAGGAAATATGAGATTCACGGTTAGCTACTATCTTCAGAAAAGGCAACTAAACTTGGGTAGGCCCTAGGCCTATAGCCAATGCCTTGTTTCATATACTCCCTCCGATTTATATTAACTGTTGCTGATTTAACATGGATTAAAGAGAGAAGTATGTTCGTCCTCGAAACAAAGAAGTTGACTATTCTATCCTCACAAAAGAAAAAAAAAATGTTGTCAATTTTTTTTCTCAATAAAGTTTTTCAATAGATTTTTTTTGTGGAATCATTAGTCATCATTATTTCCATTATTACATTGGAAATGCTATTACATTACAGACTTAACCATCGAAGTAAATTGAATCCCAATCGCCTCTATGGGCAGAAGGTGACTTGGTAGTCTGATCGGACGTGGCATGTGAAGGTGCTGCTCTTCTCGTAGGCGTAGCTGTAGGCGTCCGGACAGTGCCCCTTGAAGAAGCGCGAGTAGTCCGTCGGCCCACAGGTCGACGGCGTAAGCGGCGGCATGCAGCAGTATTGGGTGGTGCCGAACTTGATGCACGCACTCACACAGCCTCCGTCCACCTTCAGCTCCGACGGGCACTTTGCGTTGATGTCCGCGGTACAGATTATCGCGTGACAGCTGCTGCCGATAGGCCCAAAGCTCATGGGCACGTTGAATCCATCGACGAGGGGGATGTCATAGAAGTCAGGGCTGCCGCCCTTACCTAGCGTGTACTCGGCGAGCGTCGCGGGTGGCTTCCCACCGGCGGCACAGGACAACACGCCACCACAATTGCCCGTGATGCACGGCCCGCGGCCGCTGGCATCGAATTTGCAGCCGATGCGCCCCCAAATCCATCCAGACACCATGCCCGGGGGATTTGAATGGGGAAATTTTACGGTACATCATACTACTCAACGTAATGGGTAGTATTTAGTTAATTTAATGGTCAGCATGAGACCGTCAGATTTTGGCTTAATCTAATGGTTAATCTAATGGTCCCCAATGCCGGCCATCCATCGCTTGCAAAATAATCATCCAGTCGCCGCCCCATGTTCTTGGCCATCCAGGATGCTGCGTGCAGGCTGGCAGCCTGGCACCCTTAGAGAGTCCTCCATCCTAACTACTCCCAGCGCACTGTCATCCCACTGCTGCCAAAAGTCAGAGCCTATACTGCTTGCATGCCGCCGGCGGCGACAGGAATTTACTTAATTAGCTAGTTTTTTTTAAAGAATGGGCATGGCGTGATGTCAATAAGAGAGTTCGATGGAGTTGAATACTTACCGTGGTATGGCCTCGTATTCTAGTGTCTGCATGGTCATTCATAGGATGGGCTGGACAAGGCCGGGGCCATGCGGTCCAAGCGAAGCCTGTCATCTCTATGTCAGCGACTAGTTGTCACTAGTAGAAAAGGGGCATTTGTCCCGATTCGTAAGGGCCTTTAATCGGGACTAAAGGATCGTTACTAATGCCTCCCCCTTTAGTCCCGATTCTAACAGGAACCGGGATAGATGTGCCTCCACATGGCCGGTGCGCCGAGCCCAGGCATGAGGGCCTTTGGTCCCGGTTGGTGGCACCAACCGGGATCAAAAGGCGTCGACGCGTCAGCAATTCAGTGGCTGGGGTTTTTGGTTTTTTTTTTGGGGAGGGGGGGGGTTTGGGGGGTTAATTTAGGTGTTTCATATATTGTGTTAGCTAGCTAATTAATAGAGAGAAGTGTCCTCTCTTATGTCTGTGCTTGGTCGACGCTACGTCTGTACATAGAGAGGCCCTCGACACGCTAGCTAGTAAGAAAATGAAGGGAACCATTAAGTACAGAAATTCGTCATGCATACCGAGAGAAGTGATCGATCGACCTCTCCTTCTCCGAGAGATTGGTCGAACAACAAGTTTTCGTATTGTCTATCCGACGCTACTGGCTATACATACGTATACAATATGTAAGAGCTCTTACAATCCCCTAGCAATTGAAATCAACTTCCACATGGTATTCTCCGGCTTTATTGATGATGTGGTCAAGAAAGAATCCCGCCAATTCCTCTTGAATTATTTTCATGCAATCTTGTTCTAGGAGTTCATCCCGCATCTGCCACGTCTAATTTGAAGAAGGGGTTAATACATATATGAATGAAACTCAACAAAAATGATGGTGTAATAAAATGAAATTGTGAATATTATTGCTTACGCACTTCATATTGTCTTTTAGAGTAGCCCCGCTTATTTTTCAAAGTCGCGTTGTAGATGAACTCGCACACGTAGTATCCATAGAAATCATTCCCTTGTTCCTGCCACAAGCTCTTTACGAGAAATAAAGGTCAATCAAACTGATAATGAAGCATTATAAATGGCATTGATAAAAGTACAACTATAGAATCAACGGGAGATGCGCGCAACTAGCTAGCTAGTAGTACTTACTTTCGGGTATGTATATCGCAGCTCCTTCGGCAGTCCCGGAACTTCTGCGGTGAACTGTTTCCAAACCCTGCAAGACAAAGAAAATAATTATTATTGCTTGAGATATCAGGAAATGAACAAAAAGTTGCCGATATGGTGCGATAAATGATCGATTGAACTTACTTGTTGAGCAAATTAGTCATGTCCGCATAGGTTTGGGTATCTTTTTGTCTCGAGTCTAAGACGTTTACTACTCCCCGCTCAAGCTTAATCTTCAGAAGAACATAGTGGAATCTGCGCATGCATGCATAACTCATCAATTACATTACTATAACCTTACTCGAGTAATAAGGAAAACCGAATATGTACACGACAGTAACATTCACTGGAAGTTGTATATCGCAGCTCCTTCGGCAGTCCCGGAGCTTGTGCGGTGAACTTATTCCAAACCCTGCAAGACAAAGAAAATAATAATTATTACTTGAGATATCAGGAAATGAACAAAAAGTTGCCGATATGGTGCGATAATGATCGATTGAACTTACTTGCTGAGCATTTCAGTGATGTCCGCATAGGTTTCGGGATCTTTCCGTCTCGAGTCTAAGACGGTTACTAGTCCACGCTCAAGCTTAATCTCCAGAAGAATATAGTGGTACCTGCGCATGCATGCATAACTCATCAATTACATTACTATAACCTCGCTCGAGTAATAAGGGAAACCGAATATGCACACGACAGTAACACTCACGGGCCGTTGTAAGGAAAGAGTATGGTATCTTTGTTTTGATTTTTGATCAACGATTGTAGCAAGTTGGCCTCGGCCTCTTCGGCGTGCTTTTTAACCAGAAATTCATCTATGATATTTGTGTTAATGAACCCAATATCATACATTTCTTGTTTTTTGCACTCGATGATCTTCAATCTGCATAATATAGTGAGGATAATTAATTATAAATACATGCAATGAAAGAGCTGAGCTATATATAGAGACTTAATGACAGAAATAGTACTTACAAACAGTAGCAAAAGACCGTTAGTTTATCGAGGGCCTTTTGATTGAAGAACGCGAAGAACTCATCAAATGGAACAGTCAACAGATCAGTTTCAATGAGGTCGTGCTCCTCTTTAATATTTAGATACAAAGCATTCGTCCCCCCATACTCTCTGCAGGTTTTCATGTACCAATTATGGAATCTTTGCATCATAGTTGTTAGAGATTTTTCATCTTTGACGAGAGGCTTCCCGTACTCGTATATGTGTTCGCCCACCTCCAAGAAATCAGGAAGTTGATCTTAGGCAGGTAATCTCCAAGATTACCATAACCGGCCACCATCCCCGGAGCATTAGCGACGATGTCGCCGCTAGACACATTGAGCAGGGGGCACGGTTGCTTTGCTTGTTCGCCGAGCTGGGCAATTTTTTTCCCAGCTGCTCGTTCTTTTAACCTTTTTATCACTGACAGTACTTCCCGACCACTCCGCTTCGAGATATGTCTATTCAGTAATGTGCTCATAGTTGGTTCTCGGCGGAGACTTTGGTGGTTTCCTCAGGGCATCGATAGTGCGCTTTGATTTCACCAGATCTACCTTCTCCTCCGGAGGTGGATGTCTCTTTGCTTTCAACCCGGCAAAGAAGTCGTCCACTTCGGCCTGCACGATCTTCGTGTTTTCCACCTTGGTCCTCTCATACGGTAACTTCTCTAGAGGCTTCAGAGAAGGACCGTATCTATATTGCCTCCCGCCTCTGCTGGCTGTACTACTAGACGCTGGAGCAGACGGAGCGGCTGCGACGCCTGTCTTCTTTCGTGCTTGCTTACGAGGCGGAGGAGAAGGACTACGACGCGCCGGAGCAGCCGGGGCGGCGGCGGGTCTCTTCCGCCCTTGCTGGCGAGGCGGAGAAGGAGGAGGCTGCTGGCTGCTCGGGCGCGCCGGCGCAGGCGGAGAAGGAGGCGGAGTGCCACCACGCGCCGGAGAAGGAGGAGGCTGCGCCGGTGTGCCACCACGCGCCGGAGAAGGAGGAGGCTGTTGGCTGCTCGGGCGCGCCGGCACAGAGGGAGAAGGAGGCGGAGTGCCACCACGCGCTGGAGAAGGAGGCCCAGTGCCCTGATCATCACTCACCGGAGGAGGAGGCGGTAGAGGAGGCGGAGTGCCCTGACTCGCCGATGGAGGAGGAGGAGGCGGAGGCGTCCAGTTCGGAAGGTTGATGAGCTCCTTCCACCATAGGCATGGAGTGTTCAAAGCAGAACCCAACCTAGTCTCCCCTTCACCGGTTGGGTAGTCAAGCTGGAGGTCCTCAAATCCCTCCGTTATTTCACCCACCATCACCCTAGCATATCCTTCTGGAATCGGCCGGCAGTGAAAAGTTGCGTCGTGTTCAGTAGGATAAACAGAGCCAACAGCCGCCTTGACCTTCAAATTCATCCATCGCGTCATAAGGTGGCAATTTTGAGCCTCCATGATAGCATCCACGGGATAGATGTCAGGAGCCGTCAAGACATGCTCCGGCTGAAGCAGCTCGGTGGAAGCCACGCTGCTTCTCCGCTGAGATGGCGGGGTAGCTTCGGGGGAAGCTTCGGCAGGCCGTTTGTTATGATCTGCTTCTCGTTCCTCTAGCCCCATTACCATTTCGTGCAGCACCTGCAGTTGGCTCTGCTCCAATTTCTTCCTCCTCTCGTGGGTTTTGTAACCCCCCATGTTCGGAAAACCAACCTTCCACGGAATGGAGCCTGGCATGCCTCGTGTCCGTCCAGGGTGCTCAGGATTCCCGAGGGCAATTGTGAGTTCGTCCTTCTCCCTGTCTGGAACGAACGTCCCTTGCTGCGCTGCATCGATATACTACAGAAGCCTTGTGACTGGTGTTTTCAGTTGCTTGTCCGTCCAATGGCACTTCCCTGATACAGGGTCCAAGGTTTTGCCAGTCCCGAAGAACCAAGTCCGGCAATGGTCTGGCCATCTCATTGTCTCCGGTTCGATCCCTTTATCAAGAAGATCATTCTCAGCCTTGGACCACTTAGGCCGGGCTTGCAGGTAGCCACCTGACCCCGTGCGATCGTGAAACTTCTTCTTCGAAGCATTTTGCTTGTTTGTCGCCAACATCTTCTTACTCTTTTCCGATGTCGTCTAGGCCACAAATGAGGGCCAGTGATCTCTGATCTTCTCATATTTTCCGATGAATTCTGGTGTCTCTT